ATAAAAAACTAATTTTATAAATTCAGAATAAACAAATACTCAAAGATAGGAGTATAGTTTTTAAACGTGACATTCTTTTTAAACAAAAAATGTGAAAAAGGGTATAAAAGTTAGAAGAACTCCGGCAGCATTGCTGGGGAAAGTCACCAATGTGGCGGTGTTCGACGCCGAGGGATGATGGGGAGCAGCAACCTAAACGCGGTGTTCTACGCCAAGGAGTACCACCCGATTCAGTCCGGCAGCATCGACGGCACCGATATTCTTCCCCACGACAGCGCTGTTTACCGGGCACTTCTCTGCTCCAATGCCGCCCTCTGTAATCTCTCTCTATCTCTCTCCCCCCACCCCACTATTTCCCCCCTTCTTCTATAAAATTTTCTCAATTTCTGCACTTTTCCCCCGTAGATGATCCTTTCGGAGACCCCAAAGCTCTCGGCGATCCTTACTGCACTCTCTTCGTCGGCCGACTCTCTCGCGTCACCACCGAAGACTCGCTTCGCGAGGTGCCCCCCGTTTCCTCCTCACTGCTCCCGCCATTTTTTTGCCCTATTTCCGAGTAATAGTAACTTGTAAGTTCTGTTTGAAGAATTAACAGTCGAAGTTCTGTTTGAACTTCCAGGTGATGAGCAGATATGGAAGAGTGAGGAACTTGAGATTAGTCAGACACATTGGTAATGTCTTGCTTCTTTGTGCTCTGCGTGATTCCTTTACACTCTAAGTCAAACCACTTAGTCCTTTGCTCGTATACTATTGTTACAGAGTGTTATTACTTGTCCCTAGTCCGACTCCCGAGCTTGATCTCATTGTAGAATTTGGAATCTGCTTGTATTAGAATGATGAATCATGAGCAGGAATCGACGAGAAAATTCATTGATGCAGGTTTCTAGTGAAAAAATCTCCTCGATATTCTGCAAGAAAAGAAGTAATACTCTGGAGAATAATGGTTTTTATTGATATTGATATCTTGAAAATAATACTAATATAGGTTCAATGCCAGATTAAAAATATACTACGTAATAGGTATAAGCTTCTACTCCCTCCATCCTTAAGACAAAGTCACACTTTGACTTCACAAAGTTTAAGAAAAGTGTTGAAAAGCCACAAAAAAAGGGTTAAAGTTTATTTAAAGAGAGAAGTTTTGTGAGACACATTATCTTTTCCTTAAAAAATGTGAGAATTGTGAACTTTACTTTGGGATAGACGCAAAAGGAAAGAGTGACTTTCTTTTAGGGGCGGAGGGAGTAAAAATAAGCAAAGAACGTGACATGGTGTTGTGTTCGTCAATCGCATAGGTCAGGTTTATAGTTATGAATAAAATATCATTTCAAGTACTATTTCTTTAAGTCAAGTATGCATCCACTGGTTGAGGATTTAATCATGCAATTCTTGTTACTATTTTTAGGGATAAGTAGACAGCTTTACTGAGGTATAACATAATGAATCGATAACCTGGTATTTCTTGACATCTTGGTAACAATTCTTCCTATATAATGCTATCATCACCAACTTTAATGTTGGTAATTTTGCAGTAACAGGTGCTTCATGTGGTTATGCCTTTGTTGAATTTGAAACAGATCGTGAGATGCGTCGGGCATACAAGGTAATGCTTCTCTTTGAATGAATGGTCACACTGATAGGCTATTCAGGTTGGACTCACAAGATCACATCTTTTGTCTCTCAGGAATTTGTCTAATTAACTTATAAACTGAAGGTTTACAAATAGATTTGCTTCCTTGTCAGTACATTGTGCTTCTATCGTTTTCTGTATGCCTTGTCTTTATTTATCTCTGTCTCAATCTATATGTCTAAGTTAAGTGGATTCAATCATTTACAGATGTTCTAATTTGACATCTTTACAGTTCTGAGTGATGGATTATGGATTAATATTGCTTCCTTGTCAGTACATTGTGCTTCTATCGTTTTCTGTATGCCTTGTCTTTATTTATCTCTGTCTCAATCTATATGTCTAAATTCAGCGGATTCAATCATTTACCGATGTTCTAATTTGGCATCTTTACACTTCTGAGTGATGGATTATGGATTAATATTGGCTTCTTGGAGAAATATTTCTGTTTGATTTTTTCAAGCAGGGGCTTGTTTGGTACAAGATTTTTTATACGACCTTAGATTATATAAGTGTCTATGTTAAGGGAATGTGAGATTACCAAATGTGTTTGGCTGAAATTATGGTAGTGCATTACTAATTTGTTTGATGAAGGTTTTATTTAGAGTATGGATTAATCGAACAAATGTGCTCATTGGGTTGTCCCAAAATAATCTCCACACTTTCCTTTTTGGGTTGTCCCAAAATAATCTCCACATTTCTTTACTTTCATACTAAGGTAAAGAATATGTTGTCAACCTCTTTCTCCTAAGCAAATTTTAACCACACACTTTTTATTTTTCAACATTTTTTTAAACTTCATGAAGTCAAAGTGTTAGAATTCAAGACGGAGAGATTATAACCTTATTCACTAAACATAGGTTATATAATAAAAATTAAACCAAATGTCCCTCTTCATAAGTAGGAAACCCCCCCCCCCCCCCC